TTAGTATTTAGTATTTAATAGTATTTTTTCAGTTTCAAGCTTTCATTACTAATATGTAGAAATACAATCAATTTTTGTTTATTCATCTTATAGCCTTGCTAAAACTCACTTATTAATCCTAGTAGTTGTTTAAAAACTGCATCAGGTTTTCTATATAGACAATCATATTATCTGTGAATAAAGACAGTTTTATGTTTTCCCCTTTATCTTCATGAAATGGCCTTCTTTGCTCTGGCAAGTCTTGGCTCTGAAATCTGCTTTGGCTGATTTAATATGGCCACTCCAGCTTTCAGATTTTAACTAGTGCTGCTAACATGGTATATCTTTTTCTATCTTTTTAGTTTTAGCCTATTTGTGATTTTATGTTTAAAGTGCATTGGCAGCATTTAGTTGTTGGGTCTTGTTTTTTTTCTCCACACTGACAATCTCTGTCTTTGATTGGGGTGTTTAGACTATTTATATTTGATATGATTATTAGTATGGCTATTTGTGTTCTCTTTGTCCCAGCTGTCCTTTATTCCCATTTCTCTCTTTTTATCATCCTACTTTTGGATTATTTTTTATTTCTCCATTTTACCTTTATTATCATAGCCTATCTTCAAGTGTTATTATACGAGCTCACTAATAGTAAAAGAACCTTACAACAGTATACTTCCATTTTTCCTGTCCAGGCCTTATAATACTGTAGTTGTAAATTTTTCTTTTACATATGTTTTAAACCCCACAAGAAATTATTTTTGTTTAAATAATCAGTTATCTCCTAAAGAGATTAAACAATAAGAAACCTTATCTATTTAAGATAAATGTAGTTACCACTTCATTCCTTTGTGTAAATTCATATTTCATCTGCTATCATTTTCTTACTGCCTAAAGGATTTCCTTTAACATTTATAGTGTGGGTGTTACAGTATGGTGATGAATTCTTTCAGCTTATTTTGTCTGAAAATATCCTTGTTACTTTTGTTCTTGAAATATATTGTACTTTTGATAGCATTCTAGGTTGATAATTTTATAACTTTTGGAGGGAAAAACTGATCTTAATAAATGTGCATTTTTCAGTGTATGCTGAGTCCATTAACGCTTTTTGCCCTTTAAAGCTCAAAAATCTTTGCTTTCTCAAAAAGCCAGCCTCCAACAATAGAAAAACATGCTTTTTTATGCTGTTTATGCTAAGGTCTTTAGATGTCTAATTTGAAACTAAAGCTAAATTATGACTTTTTGTACTTGACTGTCTTAATGGTATAGGAAGAGCTATGGGTTCAAGGAAGCAGGAGGAAGAAAAGACCTCGGGTAATATCTCAAGATATTATTCCCTGTAGTTTTTCCATTCTGTGGATTTTCATAGCACTTAGTACTTATCTTTATTAGCACTTCATATTACACTGTGAATTCTTTGTATCTTCAGTACTTAGTGGAGTGCTTGATACATATTTGAATAGCTTATTTTCAGTAGCAACCAGACTATATAACTATGTAGCTGAGTCCTAGGCTAATTATTTTTGTATTAAAAGATTGACCAACATCTTGTTAGGAAATTTTTGCAGCAAGATGGTAGTAAAATGAAGTAACAAGGTTAAAAAAATTTTTTCCCCTTCGTAAGAGACTTTAAGAAGGACATTAGTGTTTGAATATACTACTTTGACAGGATGCCCATTCCTGTCTCCCTCCACAATTTATGAATATATCGTGTTCATGTTTGATAGTTTTTTTTTTTTCCCAAGGAGAGGAAAAATACGGTTTTTAATTCAGTGCCAGAAGTTATCCAAGGAAGGAAAAATTTTAAAATGTGTTGCTCATAATAGTTTATGCTTTCATAACTATCTTCTGCGTCTTTTTGGCAAGTAGATTTCTGAGGCCAACTTTTGACTTCCACCCTTCACAAATCTAGATTCTAGAAATGCAAGAAATGCCAGGTTATTCTGAAAGCAGATAACGAGAAAACTCATATAATCAGTATGTTTTCTCACTGTCGTCTTTTGTTAAAAGTGAATAAATAAGTTAACATGGATCTTTATTCCCTCCCTCCCTTCTTCCTTTTTTTGCCAGAAGTGAGTTTAGCAAATCATGAGTAGAGATTTAACACAGTATACCACATCTTCTACAGTATCAGTCGTATGGTGTGACTGAGATTATTGCAAAATCTGGTGCTTCCAGTACATTCATGTTCTCTCTCTCCCTCCTCCTCTCCCCCTCACTCTCTCCCCTTCTGCCTGCCTCCCTCCCCCAACTCCCTCTCTCCCTTTTCACCCCCTTCTGTCTCACTCTCACTGGCTGTCTTGAGCACTCTCTAGCCTCATTCACTTAACTTTCTATTCCTTAAGTAGGCTGTGTACCTTTATATGCCTATCTTATTTATTAGATCTTCTGAGCCTTGAGCAGTGTCAGCACATATTAGGCATTCAGTAAATATTTGTTGGATGGATGGGTAGATGAATATCTAAAGGGTTCCTTGCATTTTTTTACTAAGATTATATCATAAACATTTTCCTAAATTATTAAAATTTTTGGATACATCATTTTAAATAGGAACATAGTACTTTGTCATATGGATAGGTCATAATTCATATAACCATTCGCCAGTTATTTCACTCGTAGATTATCTAGTTTTTCACTGTTCTAAGAAAGTGATAAACAGATAGCTTTGTGTGTAAGACTTTTCCTATGCTTGATTATTTCCATAGAATGGTTTTCAAGGCATTTTTAATGCTCTTAATAATTTTTTACATTGCTTTCCAAAAAGGTTGTACCAGTTTGAACTTTTACCCTTACTGTATGAAGGTGGCTGTCATGCCATAGTCTCCCCAGCATTGATTACCTCCATTTATAAACATCCTGACCAATGTGATTGGTTAAAACAGTATCTTTCTATTTGATCAAGGTAAAGTTGAGTATTTTTCTCAAATATTTATAAACTATGTATATTTACTCTTTGCGGAAGAGAACTAGCCCTATTTCCCCACCCACATATACATAAGACCAGTCTGAATACTTTTTTTGGTCTTATGTATTCATAAATGTTTAAGCTTTTTGTATGGCAGATTTCAAGTAAAACTGATTGCCCCAAAGTTTGGATATATTAGTAGAATTATTCACTTTGACCTTAATATTCAAAATGTTCACAATTCAAAAATTCATTACAAGATGTAGAATTACCTATTTTAAAACAGTATTTAAAATATATATTCTGTAAAAATATGTAGACATTGCTTAGAAAGGAGAAATGGCAGTTAAATTTCTTGAGAAGGTTGGGGTTATACAGAAAACTGTCATAGGTATTCGGGAATCAGACCTTGTGATTGGGGGTGTAGGTGGAAGAAAAGACTTTATAGGTAGACCAGTTTGCTCTGCTTCTGGAACGATGAAACCAGTCTATCCAACATTCTTAACTAAACTATCCTTGAATAGCTGGTGTGGGAGAAAAACAAATGTAAATCAGGAGACTTGGCTTCTAATCTCAACTCTGAAATTAGCCTGCTTTGTGACCATTCACAAATTACTTAATTTTACAGTTTCTCATTGCTACCTTTGTAACTAAGCAAGGGCTCCTGTGCCCATGGCTTGGCACAGAAAGCAAACTCTGATAGTGGGTGTTTGCAGCAAAGTAAGGGTTTATTTGCAGGGCGCCAAGAAAGGGAGTGGGAGACAAGTCTCAGATCCACTCCATCTTGGTCTTTGAGTTAAGGATGTTTTAAAGGGGAAGAACAAGGAAACTGTAATTAATCATCGTCTCAAGACATTTCTGTGACATTTCTCTTTCATTATTGAACACGTGTATTTTTTTTAGTAATTAATTTTTATTGGAGTATAGTTGATTTACAATGTTGTATTAGTTTCTGCTGTACAGCAAAGTGTATCAGTTATACATATATCCACTCCTTTAGATTCTTTTCCCATATAGATCATTACAGAGTATTGAGTAGAGTTCCCTGTGCTATACAGTAGGTTCTTATTAGTTATCTATTTTATATATAGTAGTGTGTATATGTGTGACATTTCTTAATCATGGTTTTGGGAGTCAGAATGTGTCTGGTTTATGATTCTCTGGCCAGGTGGTCCATGGCTCTGGGGGTTGTGAGCTCATCTTGCCTGGAAAAACAACTTGAGTTTGTATGATGGTATCTACAACAGCAATACAGTAACGAATGTTACTGAATACAGTAACGATGTTATTAACAACATCGTTAACAGTAACAGTTAACTAGTAACAGTAACTGAATACATCGTTACTGAATACAGTAACGATGTTATTATCAACAGCAATCTTAGTCAACTGACTCTGATTAATTAGTGTTCAGTTAGCACAGAATTGAGGGGACAAGAAAGGGATTGAGGTCAGAGGAGACAAGTAAGGGAATAAAGTTTTGGATAGAGAGATTAATCATAAACTCGGTAAGGGAACTCAGTTTTAGGGGGGTTTGGTTTCAACATTATTTAGTTCTCTCCAGCTCTAAAAATCTCTGATTTTATTATCCAGAGGACAAAATGTTATTTTTGTGAATCCAGTGCTATTTTTGGAATAGCTGTGAATAGCTAGTCTAGAAAACATTCTTTCTAGGAACTTTTTGAGGAGAATAATAGGAAAATTTCCCATACCAGCTAAATATTTTAGGGAAAGTCAACTCCCAAGTCCTAGATTATATTCTTTAGATACATTAAAAATGGTAAAATTAAATTATTTTATGCTGTTTTGCGTCAGCCAGAGAACGGTATATTCAGTGTTTTCTCTTTCAACATTGCCAAAAAATGGCAGGTTGGATAAATTTAAAGAGCACAAGGAATTTCTGAAGCCTGAATATTGTCTAAATACAGAGATTACTTAGGGAGAAAAAATAGCTAGCTGCAAAAACCCTCCAGGCTTTTAAGAGAAGTTCTTACTTAGGCAAACGTCGTCTTGGCTGAATAAAATGGTTTAGTTAAAAGTCACAATTAAACGTTAGCCCTTGTCTGCCTTTAGCTTTCTAAACCAACGGAATCTGACTGTTCTGCGTTCGATTTGTTAGGTCTGGCTCAGTGCGCTGAACTCTGCTGGCAGCTGAGAGGGGAAGCCGGAAAAAGGCAAGTTCCTGGTGCAAAGGTTGCTCTGCAGCATAATTTAGGCCTTGGAGGAGCAGTAGTTGTCACGCTGTACAAGATGGGTTTTCCTGAAGCTGCCAGGTAAGTGACATTCTGGGTTTTGTCTGGCAATGAACCCTTCTGACTTTTCACAACTGATGACGTTATACAAGTAAAAAAAAGTCCTAATTTTATTGTGTTAGTGCTCAAAGAACAACTATTTCATTACCTTGCTTTAATAGCATGGTTTTAAAACTTTAAAACTGGCAATTAACTTTTAAACTTAACCATCTTTAGGAAAGTTTTGTTTAAAAAGAAGGCAGCATAGTCAAAGGAGAGTGCTGAACTAGAAGCCAGAGCTGGCTGGGCACTTGTCTCAGCCCTGCCAACTTGAGTAATTTTATTTCAGGCAAGTCATTTTTTGGTTTCCTTTCCCACAATTTGCTTTCTCCCCCTAGCGTCCCGGGCTTCTGAGGTTATTGGGAGAAAGTCATCAAATATGCTGATTGTATCTCCGCAGATTTCTGTTTCTGAATCCAGCTAAGCCCTCACTGCTGCTAGAATCCTTTCTATTTGTCTCCTGCTGATTTTCTTCCTGCCCTTGTCAAATGCCTGTGCTCCTAAGATTTCCAGGCACTTTCTTTTCAAGCCTTTTCAGGATCCCTCAACTTCCTTGCTCTTCTCTCAGAGAAATGCTCATCCTTTTTTCTCAGAGAAATGCTCATCCTTTTTTCCCAGAGGAAAAAAGTCCCTTTTCCTTTCCAAGGCCCATCTTTCCTCTTTGCATGCTTTTGTTTCCAACCACTTTCTGTAACTTTGTTCCAAATATTAAGTATACCTTCTTTCGTTTGAATCTTTCTATTTTTACCTTTCTGTTGACTCCTTTCGCTCTGTCATCAAACATGTTCAGGTCTTCCATATTCTAAAACTCTGTTTTTCTCCTTACCTTAATTATTCTCTTTCATGATGAGCCTTTTATATTGAGCCACTTTTGTTTTTCTACTCTGAAATGTCTTTAGTTTCTGATCTCACCACTGAGGTCAGGTAAGGCCACCAATGACCTGATTATGATACATTCTTGATAATTTCTATCTTTATTCTCTTAACCCTGCTGTAGCTTTCAACACTAATTGGCTCCTTTTTCTCTCCTGAAGTTCTTGGTAATTATGTATTCATTTTTTCACACTTTTGGTTCCACAAAGGATATGTGAACACTTTTTTACAGAGTCCGTTATATTCTCATGTTTTGTAAACTCTTGAATCTCTTCTCTCTATCCTTTCTTCTTTCATGCCTGGAATATTAGTTCTGTGTGAAAATTCTAACTTCCAATTAAGGCCAATCTTAGGTACCATCTCCCTTTGAATATCCACAGCACTTTGTAACTTTTGGGTCCCTATCCAATTTTTGTTTAGTTGTACAGTATCTACCTTGTTTTGTATCCTGTTTGTTATGTGAAATCCTTGAGATCTAAGACTTTGATTCTCCTAACCCCTCTGAGGATCTCTCTCAAAGTGAGTAAATGTTTATTGAATTGCATCAAATAAAAAGATGTTAAGACGTTGAATTTTAAGTTTCCTCCTAAATCTGATTCATTGGTTCTGTATCATCCTCTGGTATTCCATGTAGTTCATATTCGGAGTTGAAAACCCTCAGTAAAAGCCAAACTATAAAGAGCTACCAGAGTCAGAATATTAGTATAGCTGTCTAATTTGCTCAGAATAGAAGATTATGCATGTAGGGCAATAAATTCTATTTTAAACATGGAATTCTCATAGTTATTTTTTTAATATCTTTATTGGAGTATAATTGCTTTACAATGGTGTGTTAGTTTCTGCTGTACAACAAAGTGAATCAGCTTTATGTATACATATATCCCCATGTCTCCTCCCTCTTGAATCTCCCTCCCACCCTCCCTATCCCACCCCTCTGGGGGGACACAAAGCACCGAGCTGATCTCCCTGTGCTATGCAGCTGCTTCCCATTAGCTGTCTGTTTTACATTTGGTAGTGTATATATGTCAGTGCTACTCTCTCACTTCATCCCACCTTATACTTCCCCTCCCCGTGTCCTCAAGTCCATTCTCTACGTCTCCATCTTTATTCCTGTCCTGCCCCTAGGTTCTTCAGAACCATTTTTGTTGTTTTTTCTTTAGATTCCATATACATGTATTAGCATATGTTATTTGTTTTTCTCTTTCTCACTTCACTCTGTATGACAGTCTCTAGGTCCATCCACCTCACTGCAAATAACTCAGTTTTGTTTCTTTTTATGGCTGAGTAATATTCCATTGTATATATGTGCCATATCTTTATCCATTCATCTGTCGATGGGCACTTAGGTTGCTTCCACGTCCTGGCTATCGTAAATAGTGCTGCAGTGAACATTGTGGTGCATGACTCTTTGTGAAGTATGGTTTTCTCAGGGTGTGTGCCCATAGTGGGATTGCTGGGTCATATGGTAGTTCTATCTTTAGTTTTTTAAAGGAACCTCCATACTGTTCTCTACAGTGGCTGTATCAATTTACACTCCCACCAACAGTACAAGAGGGTTCCCTTTTCTCCACACCCTCTCCAGCATTTATTGTTTGTAGATTTTTTGATGATGGCCATTCTGACCAGCATGAAGTGATATCTAATTGTAGTTTTGATTTGCATTTCTCTAATGATTAGTGATGTTGAGCGTCCTTTCATGTGTTTGTTGGCAATCTGTATATCTTCTTTGGAGAAATGTCTATTTAGGTCTTCTGCCCATTTTTGGATTGGGTTATTTGTTTTTCTGATATTGAGCAGCATGAACTGCTTGTATATTTTGGAGATTAATCCTTTGTCAGTTGCTTCATTTGCAAATATTTTCTCCCATTCTGAGGATTGTCTTTTTGTCCTGTTTATAGTTTCCTTTGCTGTGCAAAAACTTTTAACTTTCATTAGGTCCCATTTGTTATTTTTGTTTTTCTTTCTAGGAGGTGGATCAAAACGGATCTTGCTGTGATTTATGTCACAGAGTGTTCTGCCTATGTTTCCCTCTAAGAGTTTGATGGTGTCTGGGCTTACATTTAGGTCTTTAATTCATTTTGAGTTTATTTTTGTGTATGGTGTTAGGGAGTGTTCTAATTTCAGTCTTTTACATGTAGCTGTCCAGTTTTCACAGCACCACTTATTGAAGAGGCTGTCTTTTCTCCATTGTGTATTCTTGCCTCCTTTATCAAAGGTAAGGTGATCATATATGCGTCGGTAGATCTCTGAGCTTTCTATCCTGTTCCATTGATCTATATTTCTGTTTTTGTGCCAGTACCATACTGTCTTGATTACAGTAGCTTTGTAATATAGTCTGAAGTCAGGGAGCCTGATTCCTCCAGCTCCATTTTTCTTCCTTAAGATTGCTTTGGCTATTCGGGGTCTTTTGTGTCTCCATACAAATTGTGAAATTTTTTGTTCTAGTTCTGTGAAAAATGCCATTGGTAGTTTGATAGAGGTTGCACTGAATCTGTAGATTGCTTTGGGTAGTATAGTCATTTTCACAATGTTGATTCTTCCATCCAAGAACATGATATATCCCTCCATCTTTTTGTATCATCTTTAATTTCTTTAATTTCTTTAATTTCTTTCATCAGTGTCTTATAATTTTCTCCATACATGTCTTTTGTCTCCACAGGTAGGTTTATTCCTAGGTATTTTATTCTTTTTGTTGCAATGGTAAATGGGAGTGTTTCTTTAATTTCTCTTTCAGATTTTTCATCATTAGTGTATAGGGATGCAAGAGATTTCTGTGCCTTAATTTTGTATCCTGCTACTCTACCAAATTCATTGATTAGCTTTAGTAGTTTTCTGGTAGCATGTTTAGGATTCTCTATGTATAGTATCATGTCATCTGCAAACAGTGACAGTTTTACTTCTTCTTTACTGACTAGGATTCCTTTTATTTCTTTTTCTTCTCTGATTGTTGTGGCTAAAACTTCCAAAACTATGTTGAATAATAGTGGTGAGAGTGGGCAACCTTGTCTTGTTCCTGATCTTAGAGGGAATGGTTTCAGTTTTTCACCATTGAGAACAATGCTGGCTATGGGTTTGCTATATATGGCCTTTATTATGTTGAGGTAAGTTCCCTCTATGCCTACTTTCTGGAGGGTTTTTATCTTAAATGGGTGTTGAATTTTGTCAAAAGCTTTTTCTGCATCTATTGAGATGATCATATGGTTTTTATCCTTCAGTTTGTTAATATGATGTATCACATTGATTGATTTGTGTATAGTGAAGAATCCTTTCATTCCTGGGATAAACCCCACTTGATCATGGTGTATGATCCTTTTAATGTGCTTTTGGATTCTGTTTGCTAGTATTTTGTTGTTGTTGTTCAGGATTTTTACATCTATGTTCATCAGTGATATTGGTCTGTAGTTTTCTTTTTGTGTGACATCTTTGTCTGGTTTTGGTATCAGACTGATGGTGGCCTCGTAGAATGAGTTTGGGAGTGTTCCTTCCTCTGCTATATTTTGGAAGAGTTTGAGAAGGATAGGTGTTAGCTCTTCTCTAAATGTTTGGTAGAATTTGCCTGTGAAGCCATCTGGTCCTGGACTTTTGTGTGTTGGAAGATTTTTTTTTTTTTATGTTACGCGGGCCTCTCACTGTTGTGGTCTCTCCCATTGCGGAGCACAGGCTCCGGACGCACAGGCTCTGCAGCCATGGCTCACGGGCCTAGTCGCTCTGCGGCATGTGGGATCTTCCCAGACCGGGGCATGAACCCGTGTCCCCTGCATCGTTAGGCAGACTCTCAACCACTGCGCCACCAGGGAAGCCCTTGTTGGAAGATTTTTAATCATAGTTTCAGTTTTAGTGGTCATGATTGGTCTGTTTTTATTTTCTGTTTCTTCCTGGTTCAGTCTTGGAAGTTGTGCTTTTCTAAGAATTTGTCCGTTTCTTTCAGGTTGTCCATTTTTTTGGCGTATAGTTGCTTGTAGTAATCTCTCATGATCCTTTGCATTTCTGCAGTGTCAGTTGCTACTCCTCCTGCTTCATTTCTAATTTTATTGATTTGAGCCTTCTCCCTTTTTTTCTTGATGAGTCTGGCTAATGGTTTATCAATTTGGTTTATTTTCTCAAAGAAC